CGGTAATTCGAACGAGGCACGAGGAGGACGAGGTTACGATTACAATTTCAGATCGCGTCTGCCTCTACGACGGAATGAGAATCGAAATCTAGGCGCGCTCACGTTTGCATAACAAGACCCGATGCTTGTTCGTGCTGGTTCTAACAATGTGTACACACATGTATACGCGCGCGTGTGCGAACGAAACGTCGCGTTCGATTTCCGCAAAATCGGCGCGCAACGAACGAACGAACGAACGAATTCTCTCAGTGTCGGAGGATGGATTGTTCGGTTATCGGTGGCGAAAGACCGTGGTATGGTTGTGTATACACACAGGTGTGTATACACACGCGTGTGCAGGCGCGAGTTTTGAGGCGCGTGGTTCGAGTGGCTTGTGCCAAAGGGTACTGACCCTGACCCAAGGGGCATTGCTCCTACGGTGCGCGTCTCTCCCGTTCCTTTTCTGTTAGATCGCTCACACCGGCGTAGCGACACCGGCGTTGCGGTAACGGCCATCATCGCCGATCTTTTTCGCACGGATGCTAAACCGATCCGGCCAAACTAGCCATTCGATTCCTCTCCTCTGGTCGGAGGAAACCAATTCGACGTCGAGAACTCCGAATTCCATCTCCCTTCGCGCTTCCTTTCGTTTCGTTTTTACTTTTACCTCGAATCGATTTCCCACGTTTCGTTCGCGGTGGTGACGTAATTTTTCAATCTTTTATCCTCGACTTATTTCGTCGTTTAGAGATTTTTTCCCGAGAGAAGAGTGGGGAGGAGTGGAGAGGAGTGGACAACGACACGATAGTCGAACGATTTCGCGTTCCGATTTCTCGATGGTCGTTCGCCTTCCCCGTAAAAGGTTCGGCTAACATCTCCCCCCGATCCCCTCGCCTCGCGATCCTCCCCCTTCCAACGCGTCCTGTAGACGTACCGTCAAGAAAAGGATACCACGTAGACGAGTTTCTGGCCGGCCGGTGTCCTATATACCAGGCCTTTCACCTTTTGCCGCGAATCGAGCGGACCAGACCCTACCATCTCTCGACGAACTCGCCTCTCTTTCGTCCGCGCCATTTCTCTCTCTCTCTCTCTCTCTCCTCCCCCGCCTCTCCTCCCCACTTTATCCGCCAGAGAGAAATTGCTACCGAGCTCTCATCTCTCTCGATCTCGAGAGATCTTCGAAAGCATCTTCGAATCCGGAATCGAAAATCTTCGAAATTCGCGATTCGCGATTCAAAGACTAGGAGGGGGGGGGGGGAAGAAGAGAAAAGAGGAAAAAGGAACTCCTCCTCCAAAACTCGCGACGTTTTGTTTCTCGCCTCGAGTTCCGAGGAATCGAGGCGTTTGAAACGTTGCACCTCGTTTTGTCGTTGCACTTCTTTCAATTCCCTCTTCCCCCCTCCCCTCTCGAG